AAACTAAAATCAGCCACAAAGCCGGCCAAAATTTGTGACTTGATCGCAGTCTGCGATTTATATTCAATATCAACTTCACTAATTTCAACTATCCATTTAGTCAATCGACCCAATAACTGAGGTTTATGAAGGACGTTTCTCAAGGGAAAAGTCTTCATAACGCCTATAGGGTGACATTGAAAGTAAGGTCTAAGCTTTCGACAGGCGACTAAGAGAGCTAGATCCAACCTTTCTAGGTGCGGATATCGAGTTTCTGCACCTCACAATATTTTACTTTTCTGCACCTCACAATATTTTACTAACATAATAAATAGAAATTGCGTACCTTCCTCTTCCCGAACTAGAACTGCACTTACCGCAACTTCTGACACTGCCAAATACACAAATAACTGCTCCCATCCTTTGGTTTAGACATTAAAGGAGGAGTGGACAAGTACTTATTCAAGTCCTTCAATGCTTGATGACACTCCGGTGTCCACGAGAATTCATTCTCTTTTTTAATAGAGAAAAGAACCGATGACACTTTTTCAAAGATCTTGATATAAATCTGCTAAGGGCCGCAACCTGCCGGTCAACCTTTGCACCTTATTTACACTTTTCAGTTGATCAAGAGTGTCTTCTATGGCTTTGATATATTCGGTAATTACTTCAATTCCTCTTTGCGAAATTAAGAAGCCAAGAAATTTCCCGGATCCAACTCCAAAAGCATATTTCTCTAGGTTAATCTTCATGTTGAACTTCCTTAAGTTGTCAAATGTTTCTTGAAGATAAGTCAAATGGTCCCCTGCATTAAGAGGATTAACCAATATATCATCAATATAAACTTTCATTATTTTATCAATTTGACTTTCAAACATCTTATTAACGAGCCTCTGATAGGTGGCTCCGGCATTTTGAGCCCAAAATACATTATATTATAATAGTACGTAACAAAATTTGTAATAAATGATGTTTTCTCGTGATCCTCTGGGTGCATCCTAATTTGATTATACCTAGGATATGCAAGAAAACTCATCAACTCATGCCTATCTATGGCATTGATCATTTGATCAATGTTCGGCAATGAAAAAGAGTCTTTAGGGCAAGCCTTATTCAAATCCTTAAAACCAATACACATTTTGAACTTATTATTCTTTTTTGGTAATACTACTATGTTAGCTAACCAATCAAGATACTCAACTTCACATATTAAACCTATATTAAGAAACCTAGTTGCCTCCTCTTTCACAAACATGTTTCTGACTCGGCTATCGGCTGCTTTTTTTGCTTTACCGAAGGGAAATTGGGATCCACAATTAGCTTGTGAACAACCACTACAAGTGGAATACATGTTATATCTAAGTGAGACTATGCAAAACAATCAATGTTAGCCTTAAGAAATTTAATAACCTCAAGCTTGAGTTTGGTGCTCAACCCCGTTCCTACGTAAACCTTTCTTTCCGGGAACTCTGTCAACAAAGTGACTTGTTCAAGCTCTTCGGCGGTTGATTTTGTTGCATTTGTTTCTTCTGGTACCTAAAAAGACCTAGGTACCTGGTAAATATCCGGTGTCTCCTCCTTACTATCGTCTTCTTTCGTTACTTCCTCCGGGACTGAAATGGAAGTTGACACCGATTTTTGTAATTGCTATTTAGTGATTCCTTCCACCTTATTGCTAGACAAAGTAACGGTATTCATTTCCATTGCAGCTGCTTGATCACCTCTAATCGGCTTAATCCCATCCGGTGTTGGGAACTTTAGCAATTGACGATACGTTGATGGCATAGCCTTTATTTCGTGGATCCATGGCCTACTGAGAATCGCGTTATATCCCATATCACCATACACAACTTCAAATAATATAGATTTCATAACCCCTTCAGCATACATAGACAATACGACCTCTCCTCGGGTAGTTACACTTGTTAAGTTGAACCTAGCCAAAAGTTTTGTCGTCGGAACTATGTTTTCGGTCAGCTTTGCTTGTTCTAGGACTCTTCATTGAATAATATTGGTTGAACTACCTGGATCAACCCACACACGCTTAATTTTAAAATCTAAAATATTTTAAAGATATTACCAGAGCATTATTGTGTGGTAAAATAAGGCCATCAGCATCTTCCTCAATGGAGGGGATTTCGTCATCTTCTGGTGCTTCTCGGATTTTCTTGCCATGAGTGACTGATATCTTCGTCTTTTTTGCAGCCAAAAATGTCACCATATTCACTTCAACCTCTCCAAAAATCATATTTGTTGTGAGATGAGGAGATCATGTTGGCTTCGTTGGTTTCATTTTATCATAAATCCAACAATAATTACGGTTAGCCCGGTGACTTAAGAACTCTCTAAGATGACCATTTTTCAACAACATCGCAACCTCTTCGGGAAGATGTCGGCAGTCCCCAGTCCTATGACCATGTGTACCATGGAATTCATACCACAAATTAGGATCCCTCTGACTGGGTTCCGATCGAGTTGGTTTTGGGAACCTTGCTTCCTTTATGTTCCTCATCACAGAAACCAATTCCACCAAGTGAATATTGAAATTGTAATCTGATAACCGCGGATATCCTGAATCCTGGGACCCCGGTGGCTCTTTATCTTGCAAAGATCTGCTGCTTAGCCCATGATCAGTCCTCATGTCCGGTCTGGATCCTTATAATGATTGAAAACCTTTAACTCTACGCCCTTGACTTAACCGAGTATCAAACCTTTCGTTTGACACATACAGATGAAAATGACTCATGGATGGTCTTTGGTTCGCATCGAGATCACTCTTGAATATTTCTAGATTCCAATCACGATTTTGAGCCTAGAAAGACACCAAATAACCCAACTAATCATCTTCAATCTTAATTTTGGATTCATAGCGATTATGGACATCAGCCTATGTGGTTGCTTGAAATTCCAATAAACTCTTCTTCAACTTCCTTGAGGCGCTGGAGGTTAAGTGATTGAGACCCTTGGTAAATGCTTCTGTTGCCCATTCATTTGGTACTGTTGGCAACAATATTCTCTTCTTTTGGAACCGGGTCACGAACTCTTGCAACAACTTTGAGTCTCCTTGAGCGACTCTAAATATACTCGCTTTCCTAACTTGAACTTTCCTTTCCCTAGCGTGAGCTTTAATGAAAAACTCTGCAAGCATTTCAAAATAATCAATTGAGTGTTCATGTAAAAGTGAATATCATGTTAACGCCCTTTTTGTTAGGATTTTACCAAATTTATTTAGAAAAATTGATTCGATCGCATGCGGAGCCAAATCATTTTCCTTCACAGTTGTGGTGTAGGTTGTGATGTGTTCTATCATATTTTGTAATATCCGGCATCTTGAATCTCTTTTTGATCAACTCCGGAGCCGCACTAGGCTTGAATGATAATTGAATATACTTCTTTGAGTTCGGGCCCTTCAGGACCGGAGGTGCCTCCGAATCTGATCTATCTGAGCATGGATTTTCTTAGCATTTTGATCCATTAGAGCATTCATTTCTCTCATGAACCTCATGAGCTCGGTCTTGAAAGGATCATCTGCGTTGTTTTTATTTCCAGATACGATGCCTGCACCTCCTGCTTGGTTGGTATTCGATCTAATTCCTTCCTTAAAGCGACATTACCCGTTCTTGGAACTGTTTGATTTATAGGCACGCCAAGAAGGGCTCGAACTCCACCCTTGGAATTATTTGAAGCCATCGATAGCGCTTGTTGAAGTTTAGTCATTATCTGGTCTTGTCTTGAGAAATGATTCATGATTTTCCTTTGTTGTGCTGTTAAAGCCTTTAAAATATCAGCAACGAGTTCATCACCCATATCATCAGGGGTAGGACTCCTCGCATGTCGAGTATTTCTTTCTACCTGGTCCGGGATTGACTCTTCCCATCGATACAGGTTTCACTGTTGAATAGTCCTGGTGATTTCCATCATGGAACTTGTCCACATGCTCGTTTTGTTATTTGTTCCAATATTGAGCGAGTTGTTGAAATCATTGGGTGTCATTGCTGTTTTATGCTTATAACATAAAGACTTCAAAGTACGTTAATAAAAGATGAGCAGATCAAAATAATACCACAAGTGTCTAAGCCCCACGATAGGCACCAAACTGTTTACCCGCAAATAGGTACAGTTAAATTTATAACGTGATTTATAGACATGTGAATTAAATTAATCTGAAAAAATTAAATAACACAGTACAAAAGGAATAAAATAAAGATAATTGAAGAAAGAACAAGCCTGGACATCAGATTGATCCCACCAGAACTAAGAAAAATTGGCAAATTTTAATAGCAATAATATAAAACTCTTTTCAGAATAAGAGAAGAATATCAACCTTTTTTAATACAAGTATTTTATGTCCTTAATGAAGTACTAATTGTTATTTATAGTTAGATTAGAGGAGACAAAATCATCAAATCATGCTCCTCTTAAAGGTAAATAAAAACTTCTCTTGATGACTAATAAATATTATGATTTTTTATAACGGTTGCTCTTTTAATGCCGCCCTCTCCAACTGGCACCTTACTTTTATATTTTCTTTCCTAACCTGGATGTCTTCGGAACTTATTTAATACCGGTCACATGGCTATATCCGGTATCAACCATCTGCTGACTCATCTCCTACATGTTGTTACTGCCACCTGTCTACTCGAAAAGCATACACCTATAATTTATAAAATTTATCCAATATAAAATCTTAAGTTTACTCTACATATCCTATACAAACTACTTCACAAACTAGTTAACTATGGATAGGACGTCCGAGAGACGGAAACGAAACAAAAATAAAAATAAAAAGAATGAGCACTATAAACAAATTAAGCACACAAAAAAAGAGCTCTATAAAAGAATCCTCAAGAAAACTTCAAAACTTGATGAATAATCATCTTTTGTGGTGGAGGTAGGACTTTTATCTAGGGATTCAAAAAGTAAAAATAAAAAGTTAATATGCAAATAAGCCAAGGACATTCAATATTTAATATATAAATAAATAAAAAAATTATATACATAATGTAATTCTCGTAGGAAATTCAACATCATCATCATGAACATTGAATCATGCTTCGAATGCATTTGGTATTTAACTCAAAACCTGATCACTTTTACATTACCAAAGCTTGTATTCAAATGGCGATAATCTTTTACAAAACAAGTGAGTTCAATTTTCATGTCAACACTTTGGGGCAACCCGACCCTGTTTGATCCGGGTCTGGACACGCTCAAACTCCGAGATCCGACAAGGAATAGTAATCCCACCCGGGTGATTAAACCCATACTCATCTTCAACCTCCCTCAACAGCCCACTAAACAAAGGATGATTAAAATATATTACAGGAACCAAAACTCTTTTAAAATCTCCATCTTTTTGTCCCACATAAACTGCCATGTGACCTTTTGGCACAGCCATAGACTTCTCTTCAACTGGTTCTTGCCCGATTTGTATGTAACCTCGACCCGACCCAGATCCGGACCCGGACCCGGAGCACTGAGCCTTTGAGCAAATAGCCTTGGCTTTGGTCTTGAGACATTTTGTCCAGTTTAAGAATTTTGAAAGGGGTTTTGCACTGAGACTTGGAAGTGGGCTATTCTTTTGGTACTTCGCCGGCGATATTATTCGCCGGAATGAACGCCGGAGAAGTGTGGTGACCCGATGTTTGAGAACAAAACCTTGGATCTTGCCCATGTCTTATGTATCACTACAAGAAAAATAGCTTCTAGGGACGGAACAAAAAAGCCCCCAAAAGCGTAATCTGGTCCCCAAATTAAACGTTATAGCAACCACTAGAAAAATCCAACTGCCACATGTCGTTATGGGCTCCGCTGCTAAAGATGAATAACGACGAGATTATGTTACTGGTCCGTAAAACAATTTTTGCTATTTTAGGTACCATATACTATACTTGTATACTAGGAAACAAGAGAAGAGCTCAGAGCAAGAAAGTATACAAATGATATAATGTGTTATTGTGTGTTCAAGAAAAAGGCTATGGACGTAACTAGCAGAAAAATGATAGTGCAATATTCAGAGAGAGAAGTGGGTATATCGAACATCGATATTAGAAGATGCTTGTTTCATTCAAAAACATATAATGGAATTTTTTTTTAAAAAGGAGGATAAAGGAATAGTTCTAAAGCAAGAGCTTGCTTAAAAGAGTCAAATGAGAGAAAAACGTGGGAGTGGACGGAGAGGAGAAGAAAGTGAAATTAATAGAATAAGAGAAATAAAGAAGTGACCATAATTAATTTATAAACTATAGGATATAATTCGAAGAAGAAGAAAACAAAGAAAACAGTACATATTCCTTGAGAAGTAGGAGTACTTATTTGACTTTATCTACGAATTTGCAGATCCAAAATTTTGGAGAACTGCGTGACATCTTCTTTTAGTCAATGTAGGGGTGTTTAATATAATTCAAAAGTCGAGTATCTTTTTCATAATAGAAAAAGATACAAGATTTTTTTTCTCCTTTTTGTGGTTTGATGCTAGTCAAAGATTGAGGGCTATTTAATAAACATATCAGAAAAATACATGTGAATGAATAAATAAATTGCACATAACAGAAAGAGAACAATTGTTTAATGGAAAAAAAAAAAAAGAGGAGAGGGTACATAATGTAATTTGCGTAGGTGTGGGATTGAGACTGCTTTGGCAACTGGAAGTTTCAACTTTCCTCTTTCAAGAGTCAAACATGCTAAAGGCAAAAGGCCGCATCCATACGAAAAATAAAGGTACAGTTTTTAACTTTTTATTTCATATTTTTCTTTAATTTCCCCCTACAATCTCAATCATCCAAGTCTTATTTACGTTTTTGGTTATATTTTATGTGCCACTCTTTTGTTGTTCAGCTTTAAAAAATTAAACATTCATATATTTAGAAACTTTTTCACTTTAAACTTTTCATATTAACTTTATGTTATACTTCATCCGTTCCAGTTTATGTGAACTTATTTCCTTTTTGGTCCGTTCCAAAAAGAATGACCAATTTCTAAATTTGGAAACAATTTAGTTTAAACTTACAATTCTACCCTTAACGAGAAGCTTTCATAACCACACAAATACTCTGGGGCCCTTTTTAACTTGTTTAGGACCGCAAATTCCAAAAAGTCTTCATTTTTTCTTAAACTCTGTGCCAAGTCAAATAAGTTCACATAAATCGAAAAAGATGGAGCAATTCTATAACCACAAAAATGACCTGAATTATTTAAGAACATAAGTTTTAAAAGTATTTCGTTTTTTCTCATACTTTATTCTAAGTCAAATACATTTACATAAAATAAAACAGAGGAATTACTTATTTTCATAGTATCATTATGAATCCCAGAATTGCTTAAATTAAGATTTTTTGTGATATTGAATGACACTCTCATGCTCAGTATAATAATATGATTAATGCAGTAGGTCGTGCCAATAAAAAAAATAACGTTTTATTTATTGATTATGCATTCAAAATTTAATTCGCTCCGACAAGAGGAGCTTGATCAAATGGTCAGCACCCCACCTACAATTTCAGAGTTGTGGTTTGAGTCACCAAAGAAGCATAGCTCCAACAAAGAGGATCAAAGAAAAATTAAAAATTTAAAAAATTTAAAAAAAAATCGCTCCTAGTGGGTTATTATTTACTGATGTTGTCGTAATTCTAATTTGTTTGATACTTTTTCTTTGTTTCTCAATCAAATTTGTCAATATTTGAAAGAATAATTTCTATGCCTAATAAGTAACATTGTATAAATATTATCCACGCCGTTATTGCGTAAAACTTAAACACATATAATTCAAAATATAAGAGCCTTATAATTTCACAGCTCGGAGTTTTCCTATAATGCTCCTTTTTTTATTCAGATAAACTTAATGCATGCTAAAGTTAGAAATTCTCCTTCGTTTAGAAGAAAAATAGAAGTATAATGCAGCAAAATAAGTTATTACAGTTCAGCTCATTTGTGAGGAGGCTTTGTTTTTGGTGGTACGTAATCCAAATGGAACTCGTTCAATTGATCCTGAATTTTGCAAGATACACAAACATGACCAAAATCATTATTGTCATTCAGTTGATGATCTTTCTCTTGTTGTTTTATATTTGTGTTTACCCGAAAAATCGGATAGAGTTGAATTTGTACGTAGTTCTAAGGGTATGTGGTATAGCTTGATACAAATCGTAAAGAAAAATAGAAATATCCAATCTTGACTATAAGAACGAAAGATAAAAACTGTTAAAAAGAGAAAATAAATGGACCATATAAGATAAAGTAAGAGAGCTCAAAGGATTGATCTTTCAATATAAGGAATAATCTTTTGTTACAATATCTGAATGTCCCCCCACAGAAACAACAATCATCCCCTTTATAGTGAAGGGATCTTACTTTATATATAATAAAAAATACATAGTGGGGAACCCATGAGGAACTAGCTTTTCCCTAATTTCTGCCAGGATTCTCTCTCCTAGTGTGATTGCAACGGCTCTTGTCTGTGAGCTCGATATTGACTCGAGCTCTCGATCTTGACTCGAGCTCGATTCTGACTCGGAGTCTGGTATTGATTCAGGGTCGGTGTCGGCCGGTCTATGCATCTTAGGCTCGATCATTTCGCCTCGCCCCATAGTTCGATTTGGATACGAGCTCGATAATGATATCGAGCTTGTCATTGATTGGTCCTAGAACTCGAAGCTTGATGACTTGACTTCGGACCTCGACCTGGTATTACGAAGCTGCCCTTCGATCAAAGTATTATCATATCAACCAGTCCGTACGACGAACTAATCGGTTTTGACCATATACAGATAGTTCCCGCGTTTCTCGAGAAGAATGTAACGAGAAACGATATGATTTTTCAACGGTATGATTAGATATATACTGACGTGTGCATCGAATCAGATCTTGACGTACACGATAGTTGTCCCATCAGTTCAGTTTACCGAGGCATTTAATGCACGTCAGACGGTGGTCGGCCCTTACCGATATTGAACCGCCACTGCTCAGCCTATAAATATCCCTTTCTTTCACCATTAATCACTTGTACATCTTCTAATCTCACTTCTTTCACCATTAATCACTTTTACATCTTCTAATCTCAAAATTTTCTAAGTATTTTCTCATACCTTATGAATTAAGTGCGGAATTTTCCTTCGATGGTTTTTACTGCAAAATCTTTCTTTGAAACACCACATCTTCTTTATTTCCTTCTTCTAAATTTAAAAAATGGTGAAAACATCAAAAACGATCCCTCAAAAAGAAGAGGCTTCTTCTTCACATCCCGTCGTCGATAAAACACCGGTGGAGCCACGGCCTGAGGAGTTTGTTCCCGGAACATGTCTTCTCACCTTCGATTTTAAGGTCGATTAGGGCTCGTTGGTTCCCGGTCGGTGTGAGCCGATGTCGAGGTATTTGTACTCGATAACCAAAAAGCAACTTGCACAGTTAAAGACAGATTGCAACTGGGATAACAAAAAAGTGGTAATTCCGGCTCCCGATGAAGATATTACCACCCACGTGGAAAGGTTCCTTAGTGTGTATACTTACCCTTTTACGTTAGGACCTTTCGACCCTGTTATCATCAATTTTTGTCGTCAATACCGAATAACTCTAGGTCAGATTCATCATTCCTTTTGGCAGATCGTTATCCTGATCCGTTTCTTTGCAAGCAAGATCGAGGGGATGCCTTTCACCCTCGATCATCTTATTAGATTGTATAGTCCCCGCATCTTTCCAGGTGGATTAATTAAACTTCAACGTCGGGCTACCAAGGTACTGTTCTCGAGCATAGATGAGGACAAGGATCGAGGTTGGATGGGCAGGTTCGTTCGAGTGAAGACTTCATACCTGATCCCAGCCGAAAAGATGTCATTCCCTGAAGAATGGAATATGAAGCGTAAGTGTAATTTTGCTGCTTTTTCCCTATCGCCTTGTCTCTTTGTTTCTTTCTTATTGATATCTCTTTTGTGATGGAGCGGTTCCTTGGATGCCCAGTGTCGTTCCCTATCTTAAGAGCCCTGGCTTCGACCTCTACATACGCCGAACGTTCGTGGCATGATTTGGCAAAGGGTCGATGGGAGGCCTAAAATCATGGTAAGCCTATTTCTCATGTTTTGAGAGTTCGAACGAAATATTTCCCACATATTCAACCGATTTTCTTATGTGTAGGCCTGGGCAGAGATGCGGTTTTGAGGCCCCTGACTGGCGAGGAAGAAGCCTCGGACCCGATTTCTAAGCCGGCAGAGGGAAATAAGAGAAAAAGGGCCTCTACTTCCAAAAATCCAAAACTGAAGGCAAGGTCGACTTGTAAGTCGAGGAAGAATACCATCCCTTTAACCTTAGAATCGGTTCAGCATCTAAGGGATAAAGATGAGGAAAAGGAAGATGATGGGTCCGTACTGGTGGCCCGATAGAAGAAGACCACCAACATTCTATAGGCGGCTGGATCGATGGTTGTTTATAAGGCTCCGCCTCGAACTGAGGATATATCGAAGAAAGATTCGGGCAGAGTCCCCGAGTCGTTGGAGATCGAGTATGCTTTCCATCGAAGCCAACGGATGGGGGATATGTCTGAAGGGGCTCTCCCCGAATCTCTTTGAACCGAAGAGAATGCCCCAAGTGACTTACTTGGGGCAGTAGCAATCGAAAACTCGCCCACCTTCCCTGCTTTTTCTGAATGGGCAATTCGGGAAGCCTAAGCTTTGGGGGCCCTCGAACTAGACAGGCCTCATGAGGGAGAGGATCCTTTTTGTGACCTGTTTACCGGTGTCGAGGATGCTGCCGGCACTAGTGATGCATCCGATCTTTTTCACGGAGTGCAGCAGGCTTTGAATCAGGTAAGCCTTAAATTATTTTATTGGTATTATCTCTTATGTCTTTTTTTCTTTTCTTACTTTGTTTCTTCTTTCTTCGTAGGTCATGGTAGCTCATCGAGAAGCATGTTCTCGATCCCGAGCCGAGCAGCGTCGATACGAGGCCGATCTCCAACGGGCCACGGAGGAGAGGAAGGCCCTTAAACTCCTCTTAGGGCAAAGGGGAAAAGAAATCAAGGACCTCCGAGCTAAGTTGGCCAAAGCTCACAAAGATCAGACCGATCTATCCGAACAGGTAATGACACTATTAAAAGCCTATGGACTCGATACTGGAACGATGGCTAATCTTTCGGTCTCACAGCTGCAGTAGAAGCTTGAGATGATCGGGAAACTTTGTGAG